ATGGAAAGAAGGATGGAATCTGTGCTGATTGAGTCGGATGGTACGAAATTTTTTTTTAAACTTGACATGAATTTCAAAGAAAAAGTTAGTAAGCTGTTTTATAACATTCAGTTGGTATGTTTCTACTTACAATTATCATTAGTTGTTTTCATTTGATCTACACAATGTCAAAGCTTTTTAAAATTAGAGTTGAACCTTATGTTTATGTCCAAAAGAGAAAGTAATCACACTTCACTGTTTTATTCCTTTTGACTACTTTTTGGTTTTGTTTTCAATTTTAATCAAAAATATCGAAATAAATAAATGCAGATTGCAGATTAGAACAAAACGTTTATTTATTGATAAATATAGTTTGATCCCAAAGACTTCTAACACATTCAGTAATAATTTAGTTCTTCATTATAACAGGATTTGTTATAATCCTGTTATCTTGTATCATATTTTATGAAACACGATAAGTTAAAATTTTGTTAAATATATAACAAATTTAGTTACAGTCTTGTTAAACCTAGAGGAAATCTTGTTATATTTTTTGTTATTTTAACTACTAACGGTACATGTTTTGTAACAACTGGTGTTATGACAAATCAATATATCAAAATAACACATTCTACAATAAACCTGTTACTTCCTGCTGGTCGGGTAAGTAACAGTAATGAAAACGAGGCCAAAGTTTTTTTTTTAAATAGCCCGTAGCTAAATCAAAACAATCAAAATAACTTCTATATTGAAATGCAAAAATCAATCCAGTAGCTCGCAAAAGTAACGAATGATAAAGTCAGATCAGTTATGCCGAAGAAGGTGAACTTACACAATCATTGACTGCTTCATCCTCGTCGTGCTTAACGATAGCGACCTTCTTTGACGTAAACGCGACTTCTTTGTCATCGTTGCTGATGCGTCGCTTGATCGGTCCCGATGACGGCATTCGACAACAAGCTCGTGCCACATGTCCCATCCGTTGGCAATTAAGACAAGTCTGCTGAATGGACCAACATTCCGTTGCTTTGTGCCAGTTCATCAAACACCTCCAGCATCTGTTTTGCTGGGAGGTTGCCTCTCTGACGTATTCACGACGAACAAATCCTCTTCCTCTAGTACCTCTCCAGTTACCACCAAATCGTGGTTGGTCATTACGTGGGTACCTCTGGCTGCCAAACCGATTATTGTTGAAAGTCTCGTTCCCTGGTTTACCAGCAGTCACAGCTGCCACCTGTACCTGCTGTAGAGCTTGCTGATGATTTTTCGCATACATCTCTTCGTTCATTTGATCCATCTCCAAAGCTCGAATTTTATCCAGTAACTCTGCGAGCTGTCCACCTTTGCGCAGAAATTTCCTGGCCACTTCACGAACCTTGAGATTTGAAGCATGGGCTTGAATTGAGTCCGATATCTGCTCTACCAAGATAGTTTCGTCGAAGTCGCATAGCTTTGCTACCGCAATCACCCGTTTCACATATTTGGAATCTGTCTCGTCTACTTTCTGTGCCAGTGATCGGAGCTTTTGTCGTTGCATAAACAAATAATCTCGAGAACCAAAAAATGAGCCAAGTCGATGGATTGCGTTTGAATAAGGGGCTGTACGAACATCTGGTGAATTGGAATCTGACACTGTTCCTTCAAGAATGTCCAATAGTTTCAATCCTGCCTTTATTTTGAAAATGTTCATCCTCGTAACTTCATCGGATACTCCTGCCAGCTGCATGGATGCCTCCAGGAGATCCTTCCATTGATCTTACGTTTTGCGATCGATATCTTCTTCAGCATCGCTTGGCTTACATTCTGGTACTTGTAGTGATGCAAAAGACAGATTACTCATAGACGTCATCAAAACACTATTTTGCTCATTGGTCGAATTGTCCTCGTGCATAGTAGAGTGTAATCGTACAAAACTACCTTCTGCGAACGAATGCTCCAGCTGTTTCTTGTCAGATCGCACTTTCTTCAATTTCGATCGCAAGGTAGAGTTTAGCTTCTTTTCCTCCTCAAGTTGTTTTGCCAACATTGTTGCATCCTTGGTCGAAGCTCTGGTTATCTTCCAGTTGAAATAATCCATAATGTTTACATTAACATTGTTTAAATTAACATTTTATATTTCAAGAAATATAGTCATTATTTGCTATCTCCTGTTGTTTATTAATTATTCCAAACAAACTTATATTACTACTAATGTCATGTTAATTTACAGATTCAATAAAATCTTACGATTTTCGCTAAGTACCTGAACAGATCGAATGGAAAGTATCAACTCAGTTGGATTTATTATAATTTGTTCAAGCAGTGAACTTGAAGCTTTGGATAAGACTCAACCGGTTCAAACGGACACTACGGAACGCAACAACCCGTTCGAGGGTTGGATTTCATCCTTGTACCCAACCGGGTCAAACGTCCACTATGGAACGCACCAACCCGCTCAAGGGTTGGATTTTATCATTGGATCATATTGCCAATAAATAATCACTTTAGGAAGAAGAAAAAAACTAATCGAAGCAACTTCTTTTTTTTTTTTATTATTAACTTTTGCTTTGAGTATTTCCACAAATTTCACCATCATAAAAGTAATTCAATTATCATCTCATATCTTATATGAATTTAAACCGCTAGTAGCGATTCAAGATATGAATTATTTCAATAAAAATGTCCACGCCATTTTGTATTTAGTAAGAGATTCGTAGCTAGAACGCCATTCTCTTTTAAGAAAAATTTCTGCATTGCGAAAAATTATACGTATACTTTATTCACTATCTGGCCGAGAATAATTAATCAACTATTACTACTTAATTTCTGATGGGAGCGTTATTGGTGTCCACGACTGTGCCATTATCGGATTTCCCAGATTTCTCCATCTTTTCAATCTGTAAATTGATGCACACAACTGAACTGAACTGTTCTTGTTCACGTCTGTCTCAAAACTGATCAAGTTATCCTCTGTCAGCTCTCAATTTCCATGGAAGCTTTCCCGTTTGCGATGCTTTAGCTACGTGTTTTCTCAGAGACGTACTACAATTACAGCTCTCAATTTCTATGGAAGCTTTCCTGTTTGCGATGCTTTAGCTACATGTTTCTCTCAGAGACGTACTAGAATTACCCTAGCGCTTTTGAGAGCTAAGTGCTTTCGTTTTATTTATTTTATTCACATTCTGTTTGAGGTAGCATGCTACTAGGCTACACATGATTTATTATTATCACATGCATTATTGTTATTTGAATACACTAGAACTATTATTACTTTTAATTTATTATCAACATATATTATCTACAATGTGGAGTGTGTTAGTGAGGATGGGTAAAAATAACTTCGTCATTGGAAGGAATAAACATGACAAAGACTTCAGGTCGGACTCGAATCAAGAATCTTGCGATAGTCAAAATTGTTCTTTATGGTAGGAGAAATGGTAAGGCTAAAGGCAAATAAGAAGCACTCATAGAACGGTAATTCGATTTCGTTTGCTTTTTCTGCTGTTTGCATGTATTGGTCAAACCGACAATATTTCAAGAAAAAAAGTAACCCATATCCAACACACAATCCGCACTTTAGGAGACAAGAAACGCAGTTGTTGGTTTGATTGTACGAAGTTGAATTTGTATATTATACGAATAAGAGGTGGTATTAGCATTGCGCCAGATGACAGGAAAAACGAATGTTTCGTACCATTGATGAAAGATTTGTTTTATGTACGATATTTTTTTAACGAAACGGTTTTCAGAGAAATAACGAAAATACATTTTCAGTGTAGCTAAATTAAACCGTAGGAAAACAGTGGTGGGTGGACAGCACCATCTCCCACGCACTTTGGAGTACTCCCCATCCCCAGATTAAAGGCACCATTGAAAAAATTGCCCCTCCTTAACAAGATTTCTGAGCACTCTAGTGATATAAATGCGTTATTACATTCAAGTTATCGAATAACGCATTCTTCAAAGCAGGCAGTGGAAATATTAACGTAATTTGACAAATTCCGGGTAATACTAACATTTAATTAATGCGGCCATGATTTCCTGGGTTCTGTCATATGGTGCTAATATTATTGACCCGTGCACCGAAGAATTGTCCGTTATCTACGGTTGATTTAACTTTCAGACACCTTCAGCACGAACATGGAAAACGTGGAACGTGGAAAACATACCTACCGGAACCTGCCAAGCTCATCAATGGACCTCATTCATACTCTCCTATATGTCTATCGATCCAGTTGCATATCCATCTATTTCACGTGACAGACCGACGCCAACAAACGCCTGTATCAATGTATACCTACATATAAATGAACACCTTTTGCAGCCAATCGGGCAACCATACCTCTATACCTATTTACAGTACAGCACCAGCCCACGGGCAGTTTTCGGGGCCAATTTTTTTTTGGTGGGGCCCCACGTATAAAAACTAAAAACTTCTTCATCGCGCAGAACATTTATGCTCAACTAGATACGAGTCCACATGGTGCAACGAAACCAATAAAAGTCCATTACTAGCAGCGAGATCCTCCCTGTGGTGAAGGGAAAATACCTCGTAGTAAAAAGTGGGTGTAAGTGCATCAGGTGAATGCAGATTTCAAGCAGCATCAGGAAGACGTTGAACAGCGAAACGTACAAGAAGAAACTCCAAAGAGCATGCTTTCGTTTTAAATATTGTGCCGATGATAATAAAGCATAATTAACGCGCTCGAGGAGCATCATCACTACATCCCATCAACAGTTTGTGACTGGTCGGCGCGGCGGTGGAGATTCCAAAGTGCGGGAACATAATAAGACAAAAGCAGAGATAGAGAGACAAATAAAAAAGCTCTGCATATGAAGTGTGTTGTGTATGTCGGATACTGATGCTGCTAGGTTGCTGAAGATAGTGGTGCCCGCTGCCACATGAGCTCAATTCCGTGCATGAAGCCGAAAGTGCAACAGCAGCAGCAAAAGTGAATAGTTTTTGCTTTTCTTTGAAGCACAAAGACAAGGCGGTCGGTTGTTGTTTTCCGTCGTCGTCGTCGTCGTCGTTCGCAGTTTAGGTCTAGTGGGGTCTCAACTCAGCTTAAGTGCGCGTGGTAGTTCGATCGCTAGTGCTGGAGCCAATCCGTCAGTCGGTACCAGACCGTCTCAGTTGGTGGATCAGATTCCCTTGCAAGCAATCGAGAGTGAACGTGATTGAAAGTGAAGCTGCCCGTGCCTAAAGCTACGGTGGATTTTCAACCCAAACTCAAGTGTGAAGTTTGTTTTATGTTTGCCTCGAAGAGTGATAGAAACTAAGCGCGGATTAAGCGATTGTTGTACAAATAACAGTCGGCGAAGAAAGTGATTTTTATTGCTATCAAACTGAGACGTGTTGAATTAGTGAACAGTTTTTCAAGAGGATTGATTAGGCGCCTCGTTAGGAGATTTTGAAGTGGTGCTTGCCAACAGAAGGCAGCAGCAGCAGTAGCAGCTGATTTGCATACGTTTGTTCGAAGCCGGACCGGAATCTCGAAGGCAGAAGAAGCGTTGAACCAACGATCATCATGCGGTGCGTATCTTGTGGCGATTGGGAACTACTTTTGATTAATGGGATTTGATGTAATCGATATAAGGCTGGGGGGATTGATGATTGCTCAGGGAACGGGTTTTCCCATTTATTGAAATGAGACTGATTGGTAGGACTAAATTAGGCGATTTTTTTAAGTTAGGTATTTGTGTGATAATATTGATAAACAATTCCAAATGGATAATAGATTCCAATGGCACATTAATATAATCGGTTTAGAATAGGCATCGCGAGTTCATGGGACGGTTTGAACTTCAAAAACAAAAACCGATCACGTTGGTAGTTATGAAATGTGGAAGTTATCATAGCTAACCACTTATGTTGTTGTAGTTGAAGTTTACTAAAAGTTATTTGGAATTCAATGATTAAATTTGAATTTCAATTCTATTGCAATTTGGAATTTAATTTGTTTTTCATTATGTCTAAAATTTTGAACAAGTTTTAATAAGAAATGTATAAATAGCAATGTATGCGAAAAATTATGGAAATGTTTCAAAAGTTTGTTGAGATCTTATCATGCTATTTCTTGAAGTATAATGGATAAAATCTCGTTACGCGAGAAATATGCTCAATTTTTTTTAATATGAATACAATCAATAACTCCAAAACGAAGCATTTTCGGGACTTAGTGTCTTGAGCAATGTTTCTTATAATGACGACCATATATTGACAGAAACAGGTCGTTCAAAAGTCATCCGTATAGATGGTGCCAAAATCGAACTTTTAACTTTAAAATTTTCGCGACTTGACAAGACGTCTAATTGTTCATCAATAATATAAACAACTCTTTAGAATACGAAAAAATCCTCAGTCTACTGTTTTTTAAGTTATTGGGAAAACGTTAAATTTTTTTTGAAAAAGAGCCCCTACTTGTGTGTAATTGAAGAATGTACACAAAAATCAATTCCCTCTAATTAAAACTAGATTTTTTTAAATCTTCATTAGGAAAATGTTTAGCCGAATGTCTGAAATAAGCTCACCTTAAAACATAAAACAGTTCAACGGGGGTTCAATAAACTACGATCTTAAGCAAGAGCGTAGGCAGATTTCGAATTAGGGGGGAGGGGTTCAAAGTTTTTTTTTTATTCTGAACACCTTTATACCGAACGCTAATGTACCGTATGGATTACTAGGTCGATCGTCGTTTAACCGAAACTGAATTTTCAGTCATACTTCGGCATATGTCATCGGTATTTCATGAATTTGTATAAAAAGACAACATGTTTATAAGTAATGTATCCAGGGTGCCATAATCATTCAAAACTCTAGGGATTGTCTTCAAGTTTCAAGTTTTTTCTAGTCGTATTAAAATTAAGTTAGTTCCAAGTCATACAATCCTCTGATTTTCCACTCCCGGATCTTTTTAATTTTCCTAGAAACCCCGAACAACATATTTTTTAATTTCCCCAAGAGCTTTCTACGTAACAAGTTTCAAGTTAACTCATTCAAATTATTGATTAAGATAACGGAAATCATGCTCAATAACATTAGGAAGAAAACTAGAATTAATAACAAGGGTGGAAAAACCATAAATTGATTTTACGAATTGTTTAAGGAATCTAAAGTTTGCAAGAAATTTAGATCTAAAGAATAGATTTTTTAAGGTTACGAACTCATGTTTTGCTCAATATCTGAATTTTATTTTCACCAGACAGTGGCAGATTTTTAAACATCGGAGTCTAATATAATGCTTCGGTAAATGTTGAGCATTTCGAGAATATGTAAGAGGATCATATTTTTGCAATAATAGTCGTTTTCATGTTGTCGATATAATCAACTCTAAAAGAGCATTTAGAAAATTTACCATTATTTTGTGACTCCGACAATTTAGCAAAGCAAAATGATAAAACATCTTTAGTATCCCTAATTTATTAAAATTTTCAATAAACGTATAATTATAAAGATGTTGCGCGTTTTTTGCATGAAAAAGATTTTAATATTTTACAATTTGATGAACGTTCAATATTTAAAAATTTCTTATTTTATCGAAGATATTCCCAATTCCTCATCTGATCTCATCTCTTTATCATTAACAACTTACAAAATTATTGTTACCTGCAGTAGGAGCTTGTGTTTTGTGTGGGAATGGGAATTTGAGCGGGGTTCTCTCTGTTTATACTCTTAAGTATGGCGCACTTGACATAGATGGCCCACAGCGACTCACGAAGAGCACGAATAAACACCGTTTGGTGAGATCGGATGGAATTCAACTTTGAAATCTGTGTTAGGGAAATCGCTTTTCGTAGGCAATCGGTGATAATTTTAACTATCATAGCAATAGTCGCACATTAAATTTTGAAAAAATGATAAAAGTCTTAAATTTCACAGATGCGTAGAAATATTTCTGATCGATTGATCTTAAAATTATTGAAATTGGTTCAGGGGAAGCTGAGTTATTAACGTTTACAATCTTTCAAAATTTCAGTTTTAACAAAGTGTACCCTTATATGGAAATAACAGACGTAAATTCCACTTATGATTATTTTTAGACCACACTGGAATAAAGTTCACAAAAGTCACAAAAATCGACAATTTTATTTTGTATTCCACCCAATTGTGATGATTTAATAAATATATATTCACAAGTCAAATTTCTGACACATTAAAAACAATTTGAATTCTAATTGGAATTCCCTTCAAACTTTCACCATCCACTGATTTTTTTGAAATTCACACTACAGTATTGTTGGTATTCTCATGAAACCTCGCACTTCAGTTTATTGAATGTATAAAATACTCTAGTTATGTTCAATACAGTTCCTTTGGTAATTTCTTCAGATTTACCTATAAGCATTTTTAAGATACCTTTTGAAATTCACCTTCAACCTGCTATTTAAGTTTGCTAATATTTTGATGAAACCTTCCCCAGAACACTCCTGAAAATTTCTTCAGAACTTTGATAAAATTCTTCTAAGAAGCAAGAGTTCTCCCAACGGGTAGGTCACCCCGCACGCCTTTCTTGGGTCATCTTTTTTTTTCAGTGTGTCGCAGGTGCCGGTCATAGAGCAAGCTGCGATTGTTTTTAAAATAACCATCCCAGCAACTCGGTATTTCTGACACCTAAATGTTTTGGTTTGAGATCGCAAGGATAAATCGGTCTAGCGGAATTTCGGATTTAAATCTATAAGTGAACCGAGAAGTGAACTGCTGGTCTGAGTTCCTCTGATATATACAGCCAAACAGCACGTAATTTTGTGAACAACTTCAGTGACCAGCAGTGCTCCCATTTTATTTACAACAGTTAAATGCCTACGAGATTGTACCGAATGTGCTGAGTGATTTTTCCCTTAAAATTCCCTAATATTTATTAAGAACCCATTGACATTACCTCTCGAGCTAAAAATTTGGTTAAATACTCTAGCCAAAATTGTCAATCTTTGAAGTGCCAGACTTTTGAAAAACAAGCTAATTAAATGAACTTTGAAAATATTTCAATATGTCAGATTTTTAGGAAAGTTTAGGAGTCATTGGAGTGAAAAAATTCAAAGTTACAAATTGGATTTAGAACAAAATATTGTAAAATTTCAGCTCCAATAGGCCTTTTTAATACACCACAGAAGTAGAGTGCGCCACGCGAGTTCGAGAGGAAATGTCAACCAAACCGTTTGTTTAATCAGAATAAGTATTTTGCACAATGCAAATTAAAGCATTTTTCATTGAAGATCTTGCCAATTTGCATCAGTAATTGTCTTATTTTATGATTTTCCACAGATCTGAACTGATTTGTGCCTCAACTATTCATGCACAAGAAATCCGGAAGACCATAACCACTAAGGCATTATTCTATTTTTTCTTTTTTCTCAACAAAAATATTCCTGGTCACCGGCAGGATCCTTGCAAAAACGATATAGAATTAAATTTTTCAACTGTAGATCAAGTTTTGGAGCATCTCAGATGAATCAATTTATCAGGAATAGCGCTTCCTATGTCTCACAGTACCTTTTTTTTGCTCACAACACTCTTTTTGAAGTTCTCTTATTCACCACCAGAGGCTGAATCGATCACTTAGTTTCTATTAAAAAGGCGTATCGAAATCGAGTACTTCTCGGCATATTTCCGGAAACGAATTCCCTTTTCACGATCGCGAATCACCAAATTTTTTATATCGAGCGAAATCTGTTTTCACGACATTTTCGACTTTTCAAATGACGCAAACAAATAACAATGGTAATTACGCAAGCTCCTCGAAGTGAGAACTGTCAAAGGTGATGCAAGTCAAGTCTCCGCGTACATCGTACTGGTTAGGCAAAAGATGTGCGTCTATCTTTAAAAACTGTCGTGGTTAATGGTCCTTCGCTCATTTTCAACGGAACTATCCACCTACCCTCTTCTAAAGATCATTCTCTAGCTAATAAATTATCACACTAAAGCTTCATGTTAGCATTTCCAACCAACTCTGAAAATCACTAACTTCGCGTATGAAGTAACATAAAAACACTTTGAAAGAATAATTAGTTTGAAGTTAGTAGAAATTTTGCTTAAAGGAACTCTGATGAAAATCCCGTGAACTTCAAAATATGGTCTCTGCAGATAGTTCTAAAAGAATTTTGGGGTGATTTCTGAAGATACTTCCTAGAGAATTTTAAAGAGTTTGAAATAAATCCCGAGAAGAATTCCAATAGTATCGAATTTTGAGGGTTCAATCTCAAAGCAATTCTGAGAAGAGTTTCAAAGTTATTCTGTGATGGATTTTTGTTTTGAGAATTCTAAGGACAATACGAATTGAATTTCAAATTGAATGCAGGGGAGAAGTCCAAGATTATTCTAAGCAGAAATTTTTGATATTTCTGAGGTTAATTGCATGGAAATTCTAAGGAGAATTCTAATAAATTTAAAATGGATTTATGGAAGGAGCCTTCAGGAAGTTCCTAGAAGAATCAATAAAAAATCTAAAATAATCTACTTTAACAAATCTTCATGCTTAAGATGCTTAAAGTGGAGATTTTATACAATAGATAAGGAGTACGGCAGTGTGAAAATTG